GGGGGGAAGGCATGGAGGGCAACCGTGGATGCCAGGGACAATGTGGGAGGAGGATGGGACATGGCAGAGGGTGGGGGATGGGGAATCAAGGATGGCAAAACAAAAGGCAAGGTATGCAGGACATAAGAATTGGAAAATTATTTGCTGAGAACATGTATGTTGATGTGCTTGATTGAGCCAATGCACAGTGTATTTTGGATGGAAAATTCATTTGTGTGTTGTGATGGTGTATAGTGAATTAATGTAGAAAATGAATAAATTTTTTTAAAAACGTTCATGGAAAAATACATACTTTTTAAAAAAAATTATGCATGGGTGTCAAAGTTTGCACCTAAATAAACTTGTGCTTTAACTCCAAAAAAAAAAAAATGTCCTTAATGAATGGCAGAATCAAATGTTCCTTCTGATTTGCTCATGATACAAACAGGGTGTTTAATAAATAACTGTAAAACAAGCACTGACGGAGGTCATGATGACATACTGACGTTGTTATTATTCACACTTACTCTGTTGTACCGGCCATTGTCCCCTAAGAGGGGGATGCTGTCTTGCCCACTGTGTCACATCTTGCTGTTGGTGACCCAGGGCGTAGCCCCGAGCATCCATAACTCCTACTGTGCTGAGGATTTCCTCCTGCACCATGCTCCAGCGCCCCAACTTACTCCTCATTGTACATGCAGTGCAGTGGGAAGCCCTCCCACCCAGGACTGTTGATGAGAAAATAGCCTAATTGCTCATTGTGTTTTCCCAACATGTTAGATTTTCTCCTTGGCCTCCCAGGAGACTGGAGTCAGTAATTAGTTCTCAACATTCTTGTAATCCAAGGAGAAAGATGGCATACTACATACTGGGGATCTCAGATATACTAGCTCCTCATTTTCATGGATTTTATCATTTGCAATTTACTGGCAAAAGTTCCCAACTATTTGAAATCATTAAAATGAATGAAGAAAGTGAGACTCTCAAATAACATGAATTACTTCCTTATAACAAGCATGAGTTCAGTGCCATAATGAAGACCATATATGATATAAATCATTTTCCATGCAAGATGAAGATTCTGTGGCCCCTCCAAACCTAACTGAAAAACGTCTATGATGGCACAGAATCTAATTCCCACACTTAGAAGTTGTCTATCCTAAATGCTATGCTGGATCCAAACTACTCCAATATTAATTTGTGTTTTTTAGTGCAGATATCGGGAGATGATTCCATGTGCTGTGGTTGCTGCCTGATCTGTGTAGGGATGACAAACAGATGGTTGTCACACTGAAGTTCAATGTGCTTCTTTCTAGACCATGCAAAGTTCCAACGGAGTAGGGATCCTGTTTCTCTTATTCATGGTTGTATCCACAGGACACAGCCTAGTGACATAGTAAGGTTGTAGGCTTGTTGTATGAAAGAATAAATAAATGTGACTTAGCCATTGAAATATGCTGTAATTGCACAGTTAATGTGTGAAAAATGAGGATACAGAATAATAAGATGCCTTACTTAGATATATTAATATTTAAATGTTCTTATTTACAAACCACAATCTGAATGATTTGTTATCTAAGACTTGCTTTAGGATTTCTAACATCAGAAGTCTTTCTGTAAGTCTTTCTATTTTCTAAAGTCACTCTCATTATTAACTATTTTTTTCTTTCATCTTTTCATCCTCGTTTCTTCAATTTTCTCCTTCCCCAACACAATGATTCTATAATGTAAAGGGTTAGGGAATATGGGCATTTTCATAGCAAGCAGAAGCCATAAAAGTCTCTTCTGTTTATTTTTCTTACCATCTAAGTCTGTCCATACACAATATAAATGGATTACTGAGTATTTCACCAAAATATGTAAAAGAAATAATCCTGCCACTCTACAAGTGTTTATCTGAAGGAAAAGAAGCTAGTATGTTGCAGAGATGTCTGCAGTTCAGTGTTTATTGTAGAGTGTTTATGACGACCGATATGTAAAATGAACGGAAAAATGTATAAAGAAAATATACCAACATGCACATGCACACACACTCTATGTCAGACATTAGAAACAATGAAATCCTAACATTTAAGGGAACATCGCTGAGCCTGGAGAATATCATGTTCAGTGAAATTAGCCAGACACAAAGAGAGAAATACTATATGTTCTCACAGAAAGGTGAAAACTATAAAAGATAATCTCAAAGAAATGGAGAATAGAACAGTGATTCCTGGAGGCAGGAAGGTTTGGGGGAAGTGGGTGGAGACACCTGGATTAAAGAATACAAAGTTGAGAACTACCATTTGATCCAGCAATACCACTTCTGGGTATTTACCCAAAAGACAGGAGAACGTTCAGTCAGAAAAGTGCTTGCACATCAATGTTTATTGCAGCATTATTCACAATTGCCGAGACATGGAACCAACCTAAATGTCCACAAACTGATGAATGGATTGGAAAAGTGTGGTATATATACTCTATGGAATACTATTCAGCCATAAAAAATAACAAGACCCTGGCATTTGATAGAAAGTGGTCAGATATGGAGGATCTATTGCTGTGTGAAGTAAGCCAGGCTATGAAAGAAAGATATTGTATGTATCCACTCAATATATACCGACTATCCGCACTCTATGATAGAGAGCAAAAAATTGGAGGACATAAAAGCAGTGAAGGTACTTAATACGAATAGGACAGTGTGGAATGGGGGAAGTGAAGAGAAGAGGATAGAGAAAGATAGCAAGTGAACAATACGGAGGGAGGACGTTAGTGAGAAACAGATATGGCTTATTACCTGTTGATGATGACATTTATATTCTCCACTGGATTGGTCTGAGAAGTATTTCATGATGGGTAAAGTCTTTTTACAAGCAAAATGAGAAATAGTGATTGACT